GCTATTTCACGGTCAGGGCGGCTAGGGTCTGGAACCAACTTCCAAGGGAGGTGGTGCAGGCTCCTACCCTGGGGGTTTTTAAGAAGAGGTTAGATGAACACCTTGCTGGGGTCGTTTGACCCCAGTACTCTTTCCTGCCATGGCAGGGGGTTGGACTAGATGATCTTCTCAGGTCCCTTCTGACCCTAGAAACTATGAGCTACTGGTTAACAACCAGCAGATTTTGATGGTGGCATTTCTCAGAAGTGCTCAGTATTGATCTAACTCTGCTTTCCACTCATTACAATTATTAAAATTCCCTTCAACTTTAATGGGAGATGAGTTACATCACTGCTGAGCAATTCTGAAAATTCTGAATACCCTTCCCAGAATTTAAGACAATAGGTTTAATGTCAAACAGGTTTTTTTACTTAGTTTTAATAGAAACTTTGAACTCATATTTCTGTAAGGCTGAAATATTTAAAATAAGTGCTCTTTACAAAAAGGTAAAGAAAAGGCCATGCATCTTTAGAGTGCAGACAGATGCAATGATTGTACTGACATCAGAGGATACCAACAAAAGCTTATATAATGCAACTATTACACTATGTTTCCATAGTGACAAAAGTGTTGCAAAACCACTCCAACTTTAAGCCTACTTCATTCAGGGTGATTTACCTCATTTGTGCCACAGGGGGATTATGAAGAGGTAAGGGTTAGTGCGGGGGCAGGCAATTATTTCAGGCAGAGGGCCGCATACTGAGTTTTGGCAAGCCTTTGAGGGCCGCATGACAGGCAGCCAGGGGCAGATAAATATTAATTTTCTAAATTTTTAGGGGCCCCACAGGCTGGATAGAATGGGCTGATGGGCCGCATCTGGCCCACGGGCCACATTTTGCCCACCCCTGGGTTAATGTGACAGCTGATGAGCACTTCTGAACAATTCTTCCTTTCCTTTTAAAGTGGCTAAAATGAATATCTGTCCATACCCACATTTCCTCAGTGTAGTGACAGTTCATAAGTGCATTTATTTTTCTATATTGTGGTTAAACCTTGGTATTTAATAGAGGCTTGTTTATAAAAATCAAAAATAAATTTTCTCCTTTTTACTAATGTAGATTTGGGTCCCTAGACTTGTCCAAGCACTTCTTTCGGCCTTAGCAGATGTAAAGCTATACTCATTCGTGAAATACAGAGAAAATGCAGAAACAGCAAAGTGGGTGGTAAGTCTCCACCTTCAAAAATGTTTGTTGTGCATGCTGACATAGTATATTATTAACAGATAATGTAACATTTAACAGAGCCTGAATATCTCAAAGGGCTTAGTTATGTTGCTGAATATTTTGCAAGTTTGGGAATTAAGTGCTAGTGA